TTTTGCAAAACAGTAGTTTTTAAAGGGTACATTTGTGAAAACCGTTTTCTGAATGAAATTCAGTACCAGTGTTTCTGTAGCTTAATCAGATCTTCTGTCACACAGCAGTTGTATTCTGTTATCCCTCTCTCTTATGGCTGTGTAAATGATCTGTTGTGTGTCAGCAAGCAAGGACCGGGGCAAACAGGAAGACATGCTTACTCACAAATATGATATTAGTAAATTATTAAATAACTTTTCGACATTGCGTGAACTGATCCAGATTGCAAACTGTTGCATAGAAGAATCCTTAACATGCACAAGATTGTTTAGAAAGCGTGTTTTACTTTCCAAAGTCAGATACAAAGTAATACTAATAGAATGGCTTTTTTCCCCCATAACGGTACAAAGTATTTAGTATTTTAATGCAACTACTTCTTCAGATCTTTATGAATCACTTTGCTTCTTACGAGTGAAATTCCCAGCTAGCGGAGCTGAATTGGGTAAAGCATCATTTCCCAGATGCGACTTTAAACAATCCGTGGTCGTCGCTCCTAAAACGTAAAGAATCGGCCCAATTCGCCCTTTTAAGCCCACGTCTGGTGTGTGCGCGCAGGGCGGGCGCTGGAGCGGCGGCTGCGTTCTGCGGCCGGGCCGGCGGGTGGCAGTGGCCCTCCATCCTCCAGCCATCCTCCGGCCGGACCGCTGCGAGAGGAGGAGGAAAAAGGGGAGGAAGAAGAGGAGGAGGAGGCAGCTCAAAGGTACCTCCTATTTTTAGCTCGGAGTCAGCGTTCTCGGTCGTCTTTTTTCGTCAAAATATTGGCTCCGGTTCTTTAAGTGGCTCACGAGTGTTTCGGGTGCCGTAGATGCCGGGTGGGTTTCCCAGGAGGAGAGTAAAGAAACCTCAGCTGCCCGCTCCTCCTTTTCCTTACCTGCTGACAGACTGGAGGGACTCCTGTCACCCTTGTGTGCGAGACGGCTGGGTTCTGAACTGCTGTCATATGTATGACGAGCAGCACGTTACATGCTGCATAATACAAAGATGTTCCCTGAAAATCCAAATGAGACTTTAAGTTCATGGCTTGGGTTGAGCTCAGGAATTCTGTGTGTCGTTATGGGCAATATGCAAGCAGAGCCAGGTTTGGAAACCTCTCTAGCAGAGGAAAAAGTCCTCTTCAATCTCTTGTTGGAATCATGGGGAGGTGTCTCTAGGCGCATTTGCAACTTCCGTGCATGGCCAAAAAAAAAAGATTTCTGCAGTGTTTGTCAAAACTGTTTTGCTGTCCCATAGCTGAGTATGGGTCTTCTCGATGTGTTGCGTTCAGCTGGTCAGTTGGCAGAACTGTTGGCAACAGCTGAGGTCAGAGTTAAATGGGCTGGGAGAAGTGAAAATTTCACAGACTTTTCTAATGTATTCTGCAGAAACAATGATGATGCTATAGAATAAAGAAATGCCACATCTTCAAGGAAACTTCAGGAATTAATGTTAAGGCTTTGGGCACTCAGCTTTGACCTTGCTGTTTATCTCTGAGAGACACAATCTTAAGAACAAAACCAAAGAGTGAATCTCTCAGTAAAGCACCTAGCTTGAGCCTCTAGGTTCTCTGATTGTAAAAAGGCATTGTCAAGTTGGTGAATTAGTCGATTCTGAAGGAGGAAAAAATTTTTCCTTTCTTAATTTACATTTTTAAAACCATGTTTGTTTGTTTTCCTGCTTAGCTCCCCACGCCTTGTAAATTGTGAATTTCTCGTTTGGCTACGCATGATAAGCATAAGGAAATTGGTTTCATTCTACAAGTGTGTTAATCATCCTGTAGCTTGAAAATATCAAAGTGCAAATGCTGTAGTTTCTAAAGGGGTTGATCTTAAAATAATTGCCGTGGTCTGACTGTTAATTTCATTAACGGAACTGTGGGTTTAAAGCGACATTTACTGTGTTAAAATGAACAACAGGGTGAAAAATTAGTTTTGAGGGAGAAACGGGGTGGTGATCACTTTAGGTGGTTACTGGTTTGGAAGGACGATGCGAACACTGTGATTACAGGGAAAGGAGCCTTTCGAGGACTGAGGCGTGTGGATTCTCTGGGCTGTCAGGGTTAAACGTTCACGGCACGAAGCTGGGTGCGCTGTGGGTGCTGAGACAGTAGCGAGGTTTGGCCACAGGAGGCACAGCCGGCGTGTGCTGCGGGGAGAGATTTCCTTAATCTCTACCGAGAGGCGGGACGGGGCACGGTGAGAAGCGGTAGATCAGCTCTGTCCCGTGTGTGCCCCCTCTCCCGCCTCCCCGGCCCGGCTTTTGCTAACCCTTCTTGTCTTCTGATCGCGCTGATCCTCTGAGAGCGTGCTGCTGCTGTTGCTGCTGGAGCAAGGCAGCTCCTGTCTTAAGAGATCAGAGCTGGCTTTCTCCCAGCCTACGTGAATAGATTTGGTGTCAAGGGCAAGGAAAGGCAGCTGCTGCTGCCCCGGAGCACCACCCACCCACCTGTTCGCTGGTGAAAGTGTTACTGGTCCTAGGTGAGGCTCCTGCCTTTCACTCCAAGAGTCCAAGACCAAAGGGTCGTGCTCCCTGGGGAGCTGTACTTACCCAAAGCACCCAGGGAAGTTTCTTCCCTTCCAATTGCAAGCAATTCTCTTTGGTTCACATGCAGGGCTCAAAACTGAACTTCCCATTTCAGGCAAGTTTTAAGGGAGCTTAAATTAGAATGTCAGCTGGTGAGGCACAGCTCTTCCCGCGTCCTCGGTCTTGTGACAACTAAACAGATCTAATGACCAGCAGTGGTGGCAGTGGATTCATAGGGTAGTCAGTGTCTCTGGAGTAAGTGAGGGATTTTTGCATAGCTTGCGAGGGGGCAAAGAGATCACGAAATACGCTGTTACTGGCTTTCAGGAATTTAGACTCCTATTTCAAACTTAATTTAATTCTTATGGAGAAAGAGCCCCTTCAGGAGCAGCCAAAGTTTAATCAGTAACACAACAGCCATTTAGCTCAATTCTCAGTATCTTAGTCATACAGAGAAGCTGCTGCAACTGATTAGAAACCCCATTTCATTGAAATATTGCATGGAAGCATGAAAATTCCAGTGTGGAAAGGCAGCAGTCACTTCATCATTCTACATCCCATGTTAACGCATCACCAACTCTCACATTCAAAGCCTTTTCAGAGAAATTTAATAGTTGGGGGACTAATAACCACCCACAACCCTTATCTCTGAGCGATTATTCTGAACACAAATTAACAGATTGGGCCATTACTACTGAGAACTG